GATAATTAATTCCTCAGTTTGAAGGATTTGAGAACATATATCTAAAGCAAGAAAAACTTTTATATTGACTAATGTCAGGCTCTTGTTTTGCACTTATTTATTGTGTTTTAACCAATTTAATTCCAAGCAATATCAAAAAGAAAAAAAATCTTGAGGAGATATTGAAAGTAAAGGTCTTCTCTTACCCCATTACCTCCCACCTGTTGCACAATCTTTACCCCCCCCCCAGAGAAATTCTCCTATCAGTATGACTTCCAGTTGAAAACAGAAAGGAAATAAGATGACTCCTCTAAAAGGCTACCCATTGTGTTCTCAATTATTTGGTTTTTTTTTTTTCTTCAGAACTAAACATGCCCAGAGCATGAAAGCATAAAAAAGCTGAAGGAACAGTCATCGGAAATTATCACCTGGACTTGATAGAGAATACTAAGTGTGCATTCTCAAATGTATAGATGAAATAATCCACCCAATCAACCCACACACAGAGTATATGGAAAACATTTAGATATACATTCATGCACCCTGAAAAAAATCTCTAAGCACATGTGTGCAGTTTTCAGTTCTATGGAAGCTCAGCTAGCTGTCCACACGCATGTATTCACTTCTGGGGTAAAGGCATTTTTGTTGCTCCCATAGTTTCTTTCCATTAAGAGCGATTAGATGATGTCCATTCAAAGTTGCTGATCCAGAGAGAAAATAAGAGTAGATAAAAGGAGATTTCAAGTGACCTCCTCGTCCCTTTCACACCAACCTGAGCCCTGGAATAGCCAAGGATCAACTAACACAAAAGCCCTTTACTTTCTCTTTTCAGCTTCAGAAGATTTCGTGCAAGGGGTTAACAATAAAACATAGAACTATCTCTGAATTTTGTTAGACCATGCATTTGGAATACTTTATTAACTACCCCTGAAGATGGGCTAGGTTTATTTACCACCTCTGAAATGGGTAAATGAAATACACATATCATAACAAAGTATAATTACTGCTCCATGTGGCTTTTATCACTGGTATGCTATTTCATTCTTTTTCATTTAAACTTTACGTAAACCCCCTCTCCCCTCAATGTTGGAGGACACTATAATAAACATATCTTTCCACTGACAGTTTAGAGAAGAATGTTGAATTTATTATTTAGATCAAGTTTCTGATAGGTACCAGCATGACTGGTAACACCAACAGATCTGCTAGCTTTTTGAGCCAATACTTTTCCACTACTTTATCTCATACATGGTGAAGAAAGTGACATTAAAAACAAACACATTCGAGCAGTCTTTAGTTAGTGCAATGTCTGATTCAGATCTACTTCTGATGGGTTAATCCTATACTAAAAGAAATAGGTGCTCTGACAGGTAACTATTAAGGGAAATGATTATATAGTGCACTTGATCGTATTGTCAGGGTACTCTGACCACCTTCAAACTCAGTTCAAAACTTCAACTTTCATCTAAACCCAAACCATTTTTCCCAGGAAAATGGCCATGTAGTTATTTACTGAAGTTGGGCATTTAAAAGAAGTGCATTTCATAACATAAAAGTCCAATTCTTTCTTTTTGCATAGCATAAATATATATAGGTAGCTAAGACTTTATTTTTACAAAAAGTAATAAACATTTAGCTCTGACTTCACTTGTGTGTGAGGAATGATCAGTCACTTCTTCTCTAAAAAGCCTTGATTTGCATTCAAAGGTCAGTGCCTGCTCTTCTGCCATCCTCCCACAGCTGCTCCTCCTGGGCCCTCTTACTGTGGCCCAGGAAGAAAGGGGAAGTTCTTCCCTTATCTTTTTTTTTCCAGAACATATGCTTTAAATGTCGGGTTTGAGATAGAAAACTAAACCTCTTACTCAGGTAAAGGCACTTATCTCTGAGCATTTCCACCCAAAGGTGACAAAGCAGAAATGCCTGTGCTAGAGTGGGTGATAGAGCCTGCTGGACCCTGCTCAACTACAAGAGCAAACTAAGACCAGGCAAGCCAGCAAAAGCCCGCCTCTCAACTTGGCCTGTCCACCTTGTTTTGATGTTGACAAAGGAAAAACTTTTGACCGATGTGCAGGGACACTACAGACAGAGTTCAGTGTTGGGGGTGAAGGAGATATTTCTAAGATAAGCTGGAGCTTTTGGTTTATTTGGTTTTGTTTTTTAATAATGACAAAACATTATGGGGGCATTCTTGCCTCTCTACCCCCTTTCCTCCAAAAGATCTTTTAAACACATCTTCCACTATGTTCTTCCTGCCCTTAATCTCATGCCAGGGGAGACTAATTGATTCGGCACCTTTAAAATAAGCTCTTTGGGAAAGGTCTGCAGCAAGATCAGAGGCACTGACCTTTCCACCAATGATTGCAGGCATGTTCATCTCTCCAAATGGGCTTGATAAAACAGGGTTTTTCTGTTCTGCAGTCTCTCTAAACAGAATAATACCATTTTTAACAATTTTGAGGGTGAGGAAGAGGTATAAAAGAGAATTTTTACACATATCTAGTCATTTGTAGGGTCCTATTGAACTAGATATAGAAAATGTTTTTTACAAGACCACCTTTGTTCAGTGTAACTTACCAAAAAGCCAAAATGACTGACTTTTGGATTTTTAAATAACAATATTTTAAAAGCCACACAATTAAGTGAAGAATGTTTCAGCTTTCAGTAGTGAGAAAGACATTGGGGGTAGCGAGGGTTAATGGGCTAGAAAGTCCACTTAGATCCAGACTCTGATGCAAGGCAACTATGTGCAGCCACAGACCTCTGCTGCTCTGCTGGCACCAGATCACAACTGTTTGCTGGTGTCCAGCTGGGCGAAATCAACTGTTGTGTGGTAGATCTTTAAAAAGGAATTAAGGTTGAGCCTTGATTCTAGTAGCCCAAAAGGGGTATTATAAGCAAACAACCTAAATGCCCTCCTTAAGCAGAGAGGTACCTTCTCTTTGCCTTGTGGGGGATCCACACTGGAGACTTTGTGTGTATTGAGCAGTCTGTGGGCATCAGGCAGGTAGAGAAGACTGGAGAGGGCAGGCCTTTGGAGCCCAGGCCTGGAGGAGGCCCGTCCAGTCCCCAGATTTGTCTAATCAGGATGAGAGACAGAAAGACATCCTGGAGAGAGCCCAGACCGGGTAAGCCCAGCAGGCCTGGCTGGTAGGAGGCTGAGGCAAAGGCCATAGAGGATCTAGGTCCAAAAACCACGTCCAGATTCGGTTTAAAATTCGGAGTGGAGAGCCTGGGAGAGAAGGGAGGCAGAGAGATCTGAAGAGAATGGGTGAGAGAAGACTGGAAATTGCAATTGCATTTTCTGCCCCTGCGGTTGAGCTGCCTAGACACGTGTGTAGGATTTCACAGTTGGGGAAGCGAGGTGCTTTCCAAAAATACCGCCACTTTTCTTTAGGTACCCTCCCCAACAATAACGGATACCGTTATTGTTAGGCCCAGAACAAGAATGCCAAGTAGGACCAGTATCAAACGACAGCCTTGGAGAGAGGAAGAAAGGGCTCCCCAGGAACCGGGCTGAACCTCAGTGCCTCTTCGGGTAGACCGTTTTTTGCTGGAGGCGGGGCTGTGAGCACAAGTAGGGTGCCCTATGGGTGTGCAAATGGTTGGGGAGCACAGCGTCTGGAAGAGAAACTGAGCTCTAAGTCCGGCTCGGGCCAGATGAGTCCTACAAGGGGACAGCGCCCTCCTCAAAAAGCCGCGGTTTTTCCCCGCCCCCTCTCTCGACAGAAAGTTGGCACATGTGCCCCCAAAGGAGTGCAAGCCGCTCCTCTTCTCCTAAAAGCCCAGGCCTTCCTCTGCTTCCACCACCAACAGCTTCCAACCCCCACTCCGGGACTAGGGCGGGGCCCGCAACCTCCCCCTTCCTTCCGGAGGAGCCCCCAGCTTCTCCTGAGGCCTCCAGGGCCGGAGTCCCTGCCCCCGCCCCCGGGTCACCCCGGATCCCCCGAGCCTCTTTCAAGTTTGAAAGCTCAATGGGGGCGGGAAGAGCTCACAATGAGGATGGGTGGGCGCCGCCTCTCCCCGGCAGACTCAGCTAGTCTTCCCATCTTGCCTTGCTGGTTGCCTGCAGGGCCTGACCCCAGGCCAGCCCAGCTGGGCAAGGCTACCTCATTCCGGAGCCCACCCAGCCCCCGGGCGCGGTCCCCAGAGTCGGCTCCCCCCGCCCTCCGCTCCCGCCTGGCTCGCCCTCTGACGCAAACGCGCGCCTCTGCCCAGCGCCGAGGAAAGAGCTCTTGTTGGTTTTAATTGAGCCTCTTCCTTTCACACACACACACACACACACACACACGCACACCCTCTGTCCCCACCCCGGGGAGGCGACCCCTCCCAGCTCCCAGGCCGCCTGCGGCCGCGCGAGGAGTCTGGCTCGGCTGAGAGGCTGCAGATCCCCGCGCTCTCGCCGCCGCGGGTTCTCGGCTCAGGGGAGCAGCTTGATGTGCCTTTTAATCCGCTGACAGTATCGGCCACATTAGACAGGCAGCCATCGATCGCGTTACTGTAGCGGACAGCGGTACAAACTGCGCCCGCAGGTGGGCGGCAGGAGCGGAGCTCGCCAGGTCACGGCCTCAGCCTGGCAAGGCGCGGGCATTAGGGGCCAGCCCGGCCGGACTCTGCAGCCGGCTCCGCCGCGGCTGGTGCTGGGCACCGGCTGGGACCGCCGCGCAGGAGCTGAAAGTGCCGACTTGCAGTTCCCAGCCCGCCCCCGCAGCCGTTTCCCGCTGGGGGGAGTTAGGGGATAGAGAGTGGGGGTGGGAGCAACCTGTTTTGAATTTGGACCGCTGCGTGGTTGGCAGGACCCTTACCTCCTGGGAGGCGCCGCAGCCGCGCTCCTTGCCTAGAAGCCGCGGCAGGAGAGAGGCCTAGGGAGAGTAGGTAGCCCCTGTCCAGCCGGGCGGAAAGTTCTCCTCGTCCCGCCCTGGCGGCCTCTTCCCCAGACCCGACCTTCCAAGGCTTTTTAAGTCAAGACTCCCGGCCTGCCCACGTTACCAAGCACAAGTTCAAAGGAAACGATAATCATTGCGTTACTTGCCTGGTGGGGCAGGATTTGGCTGGGTCTCGTTTCTGGTGCCCACGACGCACGGTCCAGGGTCCTAGAGCGGTTGGGCCGGCAGACCCGGCGTCCAGCGGGCCTCTGATTCCCTGGCACTCGATCTCGCCTCCTCTCTCACTCTCTCAGTCTCTCTCCGAGGTCTCTTTCTCGCTCCTGTCTCCTCTGTCTGCCTGCTTCCTCTAGTCACTCAAATCCCTGCCTCTGACTGTATGGAGAATAAAACTGAGTATATAGAAAGACTTTCTTTTCTTTTGGTCTATTTTAATTGTGTTCGTTTCACCTTTTAACTGACCAGCAGATATGAGCGCATTTGCGCATTTATTTGCACAGAGGGGCGAGGGTAAGGAGCCCCTGCCACCCCAGTCGCGTCCTCTCCATCAGCCGCGTACAATGGGACAAGGCTCGAGGAGTGCATTGACAGTCTCTCCATTATTCGAGCTGGAGGGGCTGAGGGGCAGGCATCGGGAAACCCTTTATTCCGCTCTCTAAAATTCTCGCTCATCACTAAGCGGTCGCGGACTCTCGACTTGTAGGTAGAGAGACCGGGAAGCGCGAAACGTATCCCAAACACGCAGCGCTTCCCAAACCCCTCCCTGGTGAGACTTAAAGTGAGAAGGAGTATTAAAAAACAAACCCTACCTCTGTCAATAAAGCGTGGCCATTTACTTCCACCTTTACCTGAGGACGTGTTGGATGTGGGAGTGCTCGAGCTGAGAAAAACTTTTACGCCCTCCAGAGTCGAGCGGCCGGCCGGAGAGCGGGGCTCCCACCCGCGGCGGCGGCGGCGGCCGAGGCTTTGTCGTTCCGCGCCACGCCGCGCCAGCCTAAGCCTGCCTAAGGGAGCGATCTTAAAACGAGGGGGGTGCGAGGATGCGATTGGAGAATATGTAACTAATGGAAGTATCATTTTCCCCCAGTACGATCTTTCAAGGAAAAAAAAATCCATTGAAAGAATTTTCAAAGTACTGTCTTCGTTTGGAGAAAAGGCACAGGCTGCCTGCGGGGAGGGGAGTAGGGACGCGGCTGTGTGCCGCCCGGGAGCGGCTCCCGTCCGCTAGGTGGCAGCCAGAGCCAGCGATTCCTGCAGGCCCCGCGGCGGGACCCGCTCCTCCGGCTCGCCCCTCCTCCTGCGACCAATCACCTTCGCGAACGGGGTCTCGGTCTCTCTCTACCCTCTCTCTCTCTCCTTCTCTCTCCCTCCCTCCCTCCTTCTCCCTCTCCTCCCCTCCCCCCTCCTCATCTCCCCCTACTCCTCCCCTGCTTCTCATCCTTGCCTCCCTCCCTCCCTCTCCCACTTCTCTCTCCCACCCCACCTTCCCCTTCTCCATCTTCTCGGTCGTTTGCTCTTTTCCTGGGACTGACTTGGCCACACTAATCGCCCTTCATTCCCCCCCCCCGCTCCTCGCGCGCGCAACAATATGAGGACTTACTACTGTTTTATTAATAATTATTGAAGCATTGTTTGTAGTTTGCAACAGACTGGGGATGGAAAAACATGAAGAAGGAAATATCGGATTGATTGGAAAGTTTATTTTTAAAATCTTCTTTGCGATGAATAGAAATCATTGATTCGGATCGAATAGCTGCAGATTCCAGGCGTGTGCTTGTCATAATTAAGCCTTTAAAACCAAGACATACTTTGGATCGGAAAAACAGAGAGACCCTACCTTGTTTCTAAAAAGAATATAAGATGAGTGGAATACACATTTGGATTATGCTTCTATGTGAAGGAAGAAAACAATCCAAACCCAATACATTTCACGAATCATTAAAATGAGGGTTTCATGCCCATTAAAATCTTTTCCAAACATTTTCAATTGCACTCTTCGCGCTCATAAAATTAATTTTAAAAACTTTTCAGAAGAAATCGAAATAATTTCCTTCTAATTTTCTTTTGGTCCATTGCAAGGCATTCTCCCTTTCGTCATCCCTTCCCCCTTTGGAGAGTGTGTGTGTGTGTGTGTGTGACCATAGACGACCCATACTAATCAGGTCTCAGAGTAAATAGCAGCGCAGGGCGATCTCAATGTAAATTGCGCTTGTCAGAAGCACACCCCTCCCTCACTTTCTCTCCTCCTCCCCAAGCCATCCCAGTCTGTAGGTAGCTAAGAGGGAGGGGAAAAAAAAAGAAAGAAAGAAAAAGAGGAGGGGGAGGGGCTATCCAACCAATGGCGTGCAGGAGGCTTGGCTAACCTTAGCCTCCCATTTTCTCTCCCCCCGATTCAGGGCTCTGACCAGTCAGTCGCCTTTGATTATCAGTTGCCAGCAGCCCTTCTCTTGGCTCCTTGACACGAGCTCCATATAAGGCAGCGATCTCCATAGAAACGTGTCAGTTTCAATAGTAGTGTCAAAGTTCACTATATACAGACATTCGCGCAGATCCCCCTTTCGGAAACATTGCTCTGCGAGTCCTCCCGTTTAAACGCATTCAATTTTTGGGTCTCTCTCTCTGCCTCTCTCCCTCTTTTCTCTCTCTCTCTCTCTCTCTCTCTCTTTCGTCTCTCTCTCCTCTTTTTCTCCCCCCTCTCCCTCCTCTCTTCTTTCTCCCCCTCTCTTCTACCTCTCTTCTCTCTCTCCTCTTTCTCTTTTCTTACATATTCTACTAGTTTCCCCCATTCTTCTTCTTCTTTCTCTCCTTTTTCTCCCTTCTACTCTATTCCTGCAGAAGAGAGAGGGCTAAACTTAAAGAAAAAAAAAGGAGGAGGAGGCGGCACCCCCTTCGTATTCTTCTTATCGTTATTTTATACATATATGATTTTTTTTGGAGGGAGGGTGTTGGTTCCCGGCTGAAGAGCACTTATTTAAAATACTAAAAAAAGAACATTTTTGGGCGATCTCCAGGGTTTTTTTAACTAGCTCTGTGTGTTATAGCAGAAGAAGCAGAAGAAGGAGCAAGAAAGAGGAAAAGAAGAGGATTATTTATTCGACCTACTTTGGATGTCTCTCTCGCTTTTTCTTTTTCCTTTTTTTTTTCTTTTTGGCAATTATTTTCTTCCGATTTTTATTTTTTCTATTTCGCTGTGAATTTGTGGCCGGCGTGAATTATCCTGTATTTTTCTCCCCCTTCCGTCACCTCCCGAAAGAAGAAGGCAGCGAGAGCCCGGCGCCACCCGCACAACAAAAAGAGCAAAGTGTGTGATCTTCCTCGCCGGCTGCCTCCAGCTCTCCATCGCTGTCTTCCTGAATGGCTGGCTGCGTCCGGCCCTGGACCTGGCCCCCAGACACCCGCGCGCCCTGATCGCCGCCGGCAGCCTCGCCCAGCGCCCTGCTCGGCTCACCGCGCTCCCAGCACTCCCGAGCCCGGCAAGGGCTCCCGCCGGGACGGCAGCGGCGGTGCGGACGGCCACGGCCTCCGCTCGCGCTCCGGCAGCGGCCCCGACTCCTCGCCGCAGCGGCTGAGGCGGCAGCTCCAGCGGCGCCTGCAGCCGCGACCTCCTCCTCCGCCGCCGCCGCCGCCGCCACCTCCACCCTCGCCGGCTTCCTCTATGTCGGCTCAGCCCGCGCGTTGCGCGTAGCCCGAGAGGCCGGCGGGCGGGCGGGCGCCGGGCGCGGGTGAGCGAGTGTGTGTGCGAGTGTGTGTGTGCGCGGGGGTGCGGGCGAGGCGGAGGGCGAGTGTGTGCGCGCGCCGTGGCCCATGCCCGCCGCCCCCGGCGCTGCGCCCCGCGCCGCTCCCGGCTGCCGCCTGTGCCATTTCTGATTTTGCAACTTGGGGAAGAAGAAAAAAGCGAGAGAAGGGAGCTTGCTCGCCGGGGGGTGGGGAGGGGGGGAAGGAGAGCGCGGCCCCCCCAGGAACGGAGCGCGGGGGGAGCGGGCGAGGGGAGCAGGGGTGTTGGGGGGGAGCCTGAGAGCCTGGGGGGGCTGCAAAAAGAGAGAAAGAAAACAGCAGGAACCACAACAAAACGCCAGCAGGGCGGGCGGGCGCGCAGCAGCAGCGGGGCGGCCAAGGCAGTAGCTGCGGCGGCAGCGG